GAAAGAAGAATATGAAATAAGAATAAAAGATTAGGTAACCGAACGTACCAGAGAGAGCGACATAATAACAGTGACAAGAACTGGCGATAAAGCTAAGAATTGTTCAGTTTCCAATGAGACAATCAACCTAGCCGCACCTCTCTCCTGTAGCCGATCAGGTCCCAGATGGCGAGTCCGCTGTCCAGTGCCGGGGTGCCGGAGATGAAGAGGTACTGGAGGTCAGGCCAATATGGGTCACCCTTCTCAGCCAGACTCCAGGCGTTCCCCTCTACTCCAAAGGGGCTGGTGAAGGGGCCTGCGAGGGGAGAGGAACACTGATGAACAAGAAAATACACTGATAGACAAGCAGGTATCTTTTTTTTTCAGGAATCGTCCACTTTTCTAGGGATTGGTGTTAACAATTTGTCAAACCACACATCTAATATATGTGTGTGTGTGAGTGTGTGTGTGTGTGTGTGTGTGTGTGTGTGTGTGTGTGTGTGTGTGTGTGTGTGTGTGTGTGTGTGTGTGTGTGTGTGTGTGTGTGTGTGTGTGTGTGTGCGTGCGTGTGTGTCGGTGTGGTCTACAGTTCTCCAGCACGAAACCTATTAATAAAGAACATAAAAAAAATACTGGGATCGAAAAAAAAAGTTATTTTGGGTTCTCGCGCCACGCACCTTGTCTATTGAAAATAAAATCCTTGACGGACTTTGGATCCGCCAATCTCGGGATGGAAATGGAGACGCCCTTCCTGGTGGTCCAAGCGAGGCCGAAGATGGACGGGTGGTCCTGCAGGTTAAGGCCAACCCCGGGGAGGTCGACCAATACCGGGATCTGGGGGAAGGAAGGGCGAGTCACAATGCAAACAGGAGAGGTCGGTCGTCTGTTTCCTTAAACAAAAAGAAAAGAGAGAGTGAGTGAGAGAGAGTCAGCGAGAGAGAGAGAGTGAGTGAGAGAGAGAGAGAGAGAGAGAGAGAGAGAGAGAGAGAGAGAGAGAGAGAGAGAGAGAGAGAGAGAGAGAGAGAGAGAGAGAGAGAGAGAGAGAGAGAGAGAGAGAGAGAGAGAGAGAGAGAGAGAAGAGAGAAAGAGAAGAGAAAGAGAGAGAAGAGAGAGAGAGAGAGAATCCAGGGCAAGCATTCCTCGGATGAAAAGCTGATGAGACTGCGACATTGCCTGTGAGTGAAGAAGAATCACGGGCACCTTACCCCATGCTGCTGCAGGTGCTTGGCTGGCCCTACGCCCGACAGGAGGAGTAAGTGAGGGGATCCGATGGCACCAGCAGACAAGATGACCTCTCTGCGTGCCCTCACCGTCCTCATCTGTCGTGAATAAGGACGTTATGAGTGACCCCCACAATAAGGACAAGTGGATTAGGGAAACGACAGGTGTTTTCTGCATATAAACACGGATTTTTTCGTTAATTTTTTCTTACAGGGAATAAATAAAATAATGCTGGCGTTGCATATATAAGTGTTCCTGTATGATTGTACATGGATGTGACTGTCTATCCTTCTGTATGTGTGTGCATGTGGGATGGAGTGTATGCCAGCAGTCTTGTGTGTGTTTGCGGGAGTGTATATTTAAATTAAGAAAAAAAATACAAGAATTGGAACTTACTTTTCCCTTCTGTTGGAATCGGACGCCGATCGCTCGCTTGTTCTCATCGAAGAGAATCTGAGGAAAATCCAAACATGCTTGTTATTAAGGAGAAACATGTGACTGAGGTGTAAGAGTGTGTAAAAGATTAAACATATGCGAATAATTAAGCGAAATATGAAAAAAAAGATGGTTTATATTTTGTATGTATCAATCAGTCAATCAATTAATCCATAATAAATAAATATATATATATATACATATATATATATATATAATATATACATATATACATATATATACATACATACATACATACATATATATATATAATATATATAAATATATATATATATATATATATATATATATATATATATATATATATATATAAAGATACATATACCTACATGCATACGTACATATAAACATATACATACGCATACATGCATGCATACTTTTATATATATATATATATATATATATATATATATATATATATATATATATATATATATATATACAGAGGTGAACAAAGTTGTTGGCTCACGGGTCACATTGCCAGCCAGCTTCAAATGCATACATATACAGCTTTGTATTTCCTATTTATCAACTTTTTGATTTCCATTTTCAAACAGAAATAAAGTAAAAAAAAAAAAAAAAAAAAAAAAAAAACAGGAAAACATCTTCCACTTAATTACTTTGGTAATTTGTCACAATTATGATATGATTTGATTTAGACAGTTCTTTACCAGTCTTCGGCGGGCCGGATGAAAACGACCGCGGACCGCAGTTTGCCCACCTCTGATATATATATATATATATATATATATATATATATATATATATGTATATATATGTATATATATATATGTTTACATATACATATATATAATATATATATGTATATATATGTATATAAATTATCACTTTTATCTTTACTTTTGGACCTTCAAAACCAATCAAAAATTATCCACATTAACATACAGAAAATCTGTAAGATACCATAATTTTAAAGGAAATTTGTTTAACTTTACCCTCGCCAATACGATATCGAATATTTTTCATATTTCCTTTTATGGGGTATCCCCCCCCCCCAAAAAAAAGAAAAGAATATTTTCTCTTTTAGCCCACATACAGCTACACATACACGTCCACAAGTGCGGTGCATAAACAATTTTGATTAAGTAGGTGGCTGGTGCAAGAGGACAGAAAACGGGAAGTAATTGGAGAGAAAACGGGAGACAGAAAACGTGAAGAAATGGGAGAGAAAACGGGAAGTAATTGGAAATAGAAAACGGGAAGAAACTGGAGACAGAAAACGGGAAGAAATGGGAGAGAAAATGGGAAGTAATTGGAATAGAAAACGGGAAGAAACTGGAGACAGAAAACGGGAAGAAATGGGAGAGAAAATGGGAAGTAATTGGAGATAGAAAACGGGAAGAAATTGGAGATAGAAAACGGGAAGAAATGGAGAGAAAACGGGAAGTAATTGGAGATAGAAAACGGGAAGAAATGGAAGAGAAAACGGGAAGTAATTGGAGATAGAAAACGGGAAGAAATGGGAGAGAATACGAGAATGGGAGAGAAAACGGGAAGTAATTGAAGACAGAAAACGGGAAGTAATTGGAGACAGAAAACGGAAGAAATGGGAGAGAAAACGGGAAGTAATTGGAGATAGAAAACGGAAAGAAACGTGAGAGAAAACGGGAAGAAATTGGAGACAGAAAACGGTAGAAATGGGAGAGAAAACGGGAAGAAATGGGAGAGAAAACGGAAGAATGGAGAGAGAAAACGGAAGAAATGGGAGAGAAAAAAGGAAGAAATGGAGAGAAAACGGAAGAAATGGAGAGAAAACGGGAAGAAATGGGAGAAAACGGAAGAAATGGAGAGAAAACAGGAAGTAATTGGACAGAAAACGAGAAGAAACGGGAGACAGAAAACGGGAAGAAATGGGAAAGAAAACGGGAAGTAATTGGAGACAGAAAACGGGAAGTAATTGGAGATAGAAACGAGAAGAGCGAGACAGAAAAACGGGAAGAGACGTGAGACAGAAAACGGGAAGAAACACTCAATACTCACATGACGCGGCATGGCAAGTTCCAGGATGTGTGTGTGTTACGAGTATGTTGCGCGGGTGTCAAATAGATAAGATTCTAATTGCGTATAATTAGTGTGTCCTTAATACATTTAACTTTTGCTATTTTGTACACTTATTTTCCTTTAAAAATATGTCAGAGTTTCAAGAATATATTCACTGTAACAAAAGGAGATAGTTACAGCGATAGTGAATTGTTTCACTGTAGCTAGCAAGTTACATATAAACAGGTAGCTCCAGTTCCATTAATCCTGAAACCACTTTTCCCAAGAATATTTAACGGCTGACAGCGGTAAGAATCTTTTCTTATCATAGATAAAAGATGGACACTCGGTTTTACTTCTGGTAATTAGGTAAATATACAAACATTCACGTATCTAGTTTTATCTTATATCTCATCTGCTTTCATTGGCTAAACATGATGACGTTTTTAGCTTCGCCCCTTTTTGACATCTGTGTGATCCTTACGATGTTTTTCAGTGATTTTCTTTAATTATGACAATGCTAAAAAACTAAGGAAAACAAGAAAACTATTTGATATTTACAATGAATGAAAGGCTTGGCTTAGCTGGAAGTTGCCAACAAGGATTTCCATCAAGTGGTTCTACCTGTGTTTAAGTACCTGATTATCAGCTTACAGATTCATTCCTGGTGTTCTGTAGAATAACATGACATGATTATTTTTGGTTCCAATAATAAAACATGACATGACTACCACGGATTCCAATATATGGAATACATGACATGATAAAAAATATGTCATGATATGGTTCATATAATAACATCATTATTTCGACATACGAGTAATAAAAGAGCAGTTTAGAAGACAGTTGACATATCTGCTTACAGGACAGCAGACAGTAAGACCAAAGACAATGACCTAAACTACCTATGAACTCATGCAGCCCATGTGAGTACAAAAATAATCATGTCATGTTATTCACCACAAATTCACCATATAAAAATATAGGTAGAACTGCTGTGGTCTTACTGTCTGCTGTCCTGTATAGCAGATATCGTCAACTGTCTTCTAAACTGCCTCTTTTATTCAAAGGGAATAACTCGTATGTCGAAATAATGATGTAATATTATTGGTATGAAAAACCATATCGAAATATATGATGTGAGATTATTGGTATTAAAAGCCATATATTGGAATCCCGTGGTAGAACAAAAATAATCATGTCCATTATTGGAATCCACAGACACCAGGATGTCATGTTATTCACCAGAGGCTACAGAATACCAGGATGAATCTGTAAGCTGATAATCAAGGTACTTAAACACAGGTAGAACCACTCTTTGATGAAAATCCTTGTTGGCAACT